TTCTGAACAACATTTAAAAGATTTGCAAAATTTAAAAGTCTATGATGATTTTACTACTTCTTTGGCTGAGAATGATCCTATCACTGATGCTAATACTGTTCTAGAGCACACACATACACGTAACACAAACACTTCAAATCAAAATGCTCAGACTCGGGATGGTATGGCTAACACACTCAGGCCTCGTAGAGAGACACGTGCTCCTAGTTATCTTTCACAGTACCATTGCTCTCTTATTACCAAAGAGCCTTCTCCTTCTCTTCATGGTACTGCTCATCCTCTCTCTGCTTATTTGTCCTACGATAAACTCTCTCATGAGTATCGTCTGTTCTGTTTTGCCATTATTTCTGAGAAAGAACCAAAATCCTTTAAAGAAGCAGTTTTGTTGAAACAATGGCTTGATGCGATGAACCTGGAGTTGGATGCTCTGGTGAGTACATCCACTTGGGAGATTTGTTCTTTACCTGATGGGAAACATGCTATTGGTTGCAAATGGGTGTATAAAATCAAATATAAATCTGATGGCTCTATTGAAAGATACAAAGCTCGCTTAGTTGCTAAGGGCTATACTCAACAAGAAGGTGTAGATTATATAGACACTTTTAGTCCAGTTGCTAAGCTTTCTTCTGTCAGATTAATGCTTGCTCTGTCTGCAATTCACAACTGGAGCATTAATCAGATGGATGTTACTAATGCATTCCTCCATGGTGATTTAGAAGAGGAGATTTATATGCATCTACCACAGGGTTATACACCAAGACAGGGGGAGATTTTACCAGAGAAACCTGTCTGTCGTCTTGTAAAATCTCTATATGGTCTTAAGCAGGCTTCAAGACAATGGTTTCACAAGTTTTCTGGTGTTCTCCTGCAAAATGGTTTTCTTCAATCCTTCTTTGATCCGACTATGTTTGTCAGAGTCACTTCTGGTTGTTTTCTGGCACTATTGGTCTATGTGGATGATATAATGCTTGTCAGTAACAAGGACTCTGCAATAGTGGATATCAAACAGTTGCTAGCTAAAGAGTTCAAGATCAAAGATTTGGGGCAACTGCGATATTTTCTGGGATTGGAAGTTGCTAGATCCAAAGAAGGAATCTCTGTTTCACAGAGAAAATATGCATTGGAGTTACTTGAAGAATTTGGTTTTCTTGGTTGTAAACCTGTACCAACACCAATGGAGCTCAATCTCAAATTAAGCCAGGAAACTGGTGACTTGCTTTCTGATCCTTCTCATTACAGGAAGCTCATTGGTAAGTTGGTCTATCTTACTGTCACAAGACCTGACATATGTTTCGCAGTCAACAAGTTGAGTCAATATATGAGTAATCCCCGAGCACCTCATCTTGTTGCTGCACTTCGCATTCTGCGGTACTTGAAGAATGATCCAGGCCAAGGTGTGTTTTATCCAGTCACTTCTTCTCTTACACTTCGTGCATTTGCTGATGCTGATTGGAGCAACTGTCCTGAGAGTAGCAGATCGATTTCTGGCTATTGTGTGTTTCTTGGAGATTCTTTAATCTCTTGGAAATCCAAGAAACAAGATGTGGTTAGTCGCAGTTCTGCTGAAGCTGAATACAGAAGCATGGCAAATGCTACATGTGAGTTGATTTGGATAAATTCACTTCTTGAGGATTTGCAGGTTCCTCTCAATGACACAATTGTACTGTATTGTGACAATGAGGCTGCTTTACATATTGCAAAGAACTCTGTTTATCATGAGAGGACTAAGCATATTACTCGGGATGTTCATGTGGTTCGAGAGCGTGTAGCTTCTGGTTTCTTGAAGACGCTGCACATAGGCACTGAACATCAGATCGCCGACTTACTCACTAAGCCTCTCACTGCACTTCAGTTCAATCATCTACTGTCCAAGATGGGACTTCATCACCTGTACTCTCCATCTTGAGGGGGAGTATCAGAGTCTATGTATTGGTTATTGTCCCGGTTTATCTTTCTCATTTGGTTAACCATATTCTTGGTTTAGATGTTTGTATTTAAGGAACATTCTATGTTTATTTTCAACTTAATGAAGCATAATCATAATTGAAAAGGAAAGTTTGTTAGATCTGAAATGCACATCTATTTTGCTCACAATGTGTGAAAGTGAAAGCCGACCGGAGCTGTGAAGTTTTCTTTCAGTTGGGAGATTATATCGAGGTAGTTTCGGAGATGGGAGTTTGGCATCCGTTGGAGGCTTTTCCCTGAACCAAATTGAGAAATCGTTGACTCTATGGAAAGCTCGAAGAATCAAAATTATCCTGGAGGAAAAATCAACTCAATCCGGTATACCAAATGAATTTTCCAGCCGATTGAAGAGGCCCTGTCCGAGACCAGTCGTTTGACAGGTGGTGAAACCCCTCTTGGCACCGATCACAGCCCACATGACCAGTGTGGTGCCTCATGCTGAGAATGGCCAGAGCTCCCGTAACGGGTGGAATACACCCTCGCATCCCTGCACTTAACCAAAAGCTACTTAGTTTTACCTTAAAAACCATAAACCGATTTTCTACTCCCGAAGCCTAAAAATACTTGTTCTAAACCCTAAAATAAGGTGTGCCTTCATAGTTCCTTCATCAGCCTCCATAGAGAAATTACCAGAGAGCATCCACAGCCTTCAAAGCTTCCTCACCACCGATATCGTCACCGTTCATCGCCAAAGACGTCACCAGCACTTCTCTCCTCTCTCTTGTTTATATTCTCTACTTGTTTAAGGAAGAAGAATCATATACTTGTATTCAGTGGCGGATCCAGAAAATAATTCTGCATGGGGCACTATATATATAAATAATAAATAGAATTTAATTAGCTAAACTATATTATAGTTATTTAAAAATTTATACATTAGTTACAATTAAATTGATATAAAGTAAAAAAAATCAGTAGAAGAACATTGGAAAGGCTTGAACTTGGGTTGATATGTGGCAGAATTTGGTGTAAAATCACTAAGCCAACAGCATTTATTGTTACATTGTACTAGTTTATGTAATATATAAAGGATTGAGCATGGGGCACATGCCCCACCCAAGACCAACGTGGGTCCGCCCCTGCTTGTATTCTAGAGAAGATCTCTAAGCCTTTTCATATTCATACTCTTTTATAAAATCTCTTATTTATATGGTTTTGCTTTCTATGAGTATGTGTGAGTAGTCTTCTCGTTGGGTTTAAGGGTTTTCGAAAGAGGATTCATAGATCGTTAACTAGGATGATTAGATTTAGGTCGTTTGCTTGTTTATTATTTTCCATCTGGATTTATCTTTGTTGTTTACAGCTTGATTGACCGTTTAGCTACTGCTTTTGGATAGATTAATTTAAATCGCATAAAGTAATTTAGATGAGTAAAGCGTCATAAAAAACGAAAGTTGAGTTATGAAACTTTGTGAGCAAATTGAATTTGGGTTGTTTATGCATGTTTATGTTGTTTAGACATAGTTATTGGTGATATGGGAGTAGACCAATCTCTTAATCAAAATTCTAGTTCTTGAACATAGATAATCGAAAATTCTTTGTTTGATTTCCTTGCATGATTCGAATCATGATAATAGGCCTGCGAGTTCGTTTTTTTCGGTTCAAACGGTTGGGTTTTTTTTTTCGGTTTTTTGGTTTCTGAAAAATCCAATCAAAACTAACCAAATAGATAATCGGTTCGGCTATCAGTTTATTTCGGTTAGTGAAATTGCAGCAAAGTAAACCCATTTTTTGGTTTTTGGCAGTAAAAATTGGATAAATCCGGTTTAATCGAGTAAAATCGGTTAATTCAGTTTGATTTCTGTATTAGGTTTAATTTTGGTATATTTTGGTATAATTTTGAATTTTTTATTAAAAAAATCGGTTAATCGATCGGTTCAGCTTACCGAACCGAACCGAAAACCGAACCTATTTTAAAATCTCTCCGAAAAAACCGACTATTGAACCTAGTCTAAACCGAAAACCAAAAAAAACCCGTTTGGTTCGGTCAAAAGTCCCAGCCTACACGATACCCTAAGAATTCCCTACAGCCCAATACTTCGTTTATTGATCTTTACATCGCTTTATTTTTTTTTATTTTTTTTTCGTTTTCGGTAATCACAAAACCCAAAACAAACCCCAATTGATTTTGTCTTAGCCATATTTTTTCTTCATAAAACTCGTCTTGTAGCTTATTAGTCTCTGTGAGATCGGATACCTTAAGTATACAGTTGATTTGATGTGCACTTACAGCTTTATCTTGTGTTCTTTAGGATTAAAACCTGAAACACATCAAATTTTTGGCGCTGTTACCGGAGACTATTTAAGTTGTCTACGAGTTTAGGATTAGGATATCGTCTATTTTGCTTTGCTTTTAACTTTCAATTTTTTTTTGTTTAATTTTCAGATTTACTTCGATATTTTTTATTTTATTTTTTAGATACTTTTAATTTAAAATAAAAATTCAGAATCGAAATCGAGGAGAGCTTGACGGTTCGCCACCTCGGAGGAGCGATCAAGGATCCCCTGGAGTTCATTCATCGTGTCATTGACAACAACGGGCATGATTGCTTGGCTCCATTAACTCGAAGGATTGCAAATTTCGACACCCTCACCAACTCTCTAAAGATCGTTCATTATCCACTAGACCCGAATCCGTATCCGTTACCCATATGCCCAGGCCTAATAATTGAAACCTAGTAAAGCAGTGATTTCACAATTTTCGTTCCATACATAATCTAAGACTTTTGAAATCTTCATAGAAAAAAAAAAAACCGTTAGAGAAGAAACTAGACTTTTGAATGAAATAGTAACTATAATTTACTGAAATCAGCTTCAATGTCGTCAAAGGAGAGAAATATGTTCTTCCCAATCAACATAACTTTCGCCAAATGATACTAAATTTGAAGAAAATTAAGAAATAGAGGAGTGAGGCATATGGTCCTAGTAACAAAACAATCCTAAAATCATTTGGATATGTTTCTAAATTATGGTTGGATCGTCACAGTCTACACTAAAAAAAGGTAAAAAAAACCTAATCCATCAATTATAATAAACATGCAACATACCTTTAATTAAAAATCACAAAGTCCACAACTTCAAATGCTAGCTTAAATCCGAGAAAAAAATATATTAAGTTTCAATAAGATCCTAATGACAAAAAGGTTTCATCAATCCATCAACTAAAAACCAAAAAACGATAGATAAACTTCAGTTCTTTACGAAATGGACTTTGATGGAGCTAACAACGTTATCTTCTTCTTCTTCACGTATAATCTCGCATATGATTACATCTCCAGGCTTTGCATTGTTCCTTTTATACATTTCGTCCCACTTGTAAACCACAATGCGATCGTGCCATATGCCAACTTTTCGACTTAGTTCCCCGAATCCATCGATGAGATTGATTGTGCTTCCAAACTTTAAGAGATAGTCTCTTATTGTTTGGTTAGCAATTGTCTAAGATCAATCAATACAAAAACAAATTAAGAAAATGAATAGACAGTTAGTTTATCACATTGAAGCAACTTAGAGTCGAAAAGCTTTACCAACACAAGCCTCGTACACGATGAAGTTGAAATAAAGAACGGATTTTCGGGATCATCGAGATACTTTTCCGTATCAATAGAAGGTCCTCTTCTCACACATCTTCCTGCTAGAGATCACTCAATGAAGTATTTTAGAATCGATACATATTGATGAAAATAAAATTAGACACAAGTTATTTTACTTTACCTTTCTTGGAACTTCCATGAGCGTTGTTAACTTCACAAATCATTGTATCATCATTATCACCATCATGCAATATGATCATTTGCTCATTGTTATCTTCTTCCTCCACATGATGACTATAATTACCAATTGTTTCATCTTCATCATCACGATGAGCAATGATCATGTTCTCATGGCTATCTTCATCTTCTATATGATGATTATAATCATCAACTGACTCATCTTCATCATCTGATATTACTTGTATTTCGAGAGGAGGTTTTTTCTTCACATCGAAGCCATCCCGGTGGATACGTACCCAAAAGCTTTGAGAACCATCATAAGTAAATAAGAGAAAGTCTCTGTCAAGGAGACCATTGTCTTTGACAAACTTATCCCAACCATCTTGGAAGCTTATAGTCTCTTCTTGGCTTATTGTCCATTTGACAGTCCAAGTGTCTCCTTCTGGCATTTGGAGAATAGCTGTCTCAGGGAGAGGCTTTGGATAGTACTTGTTATATTCTCTTGGGATTACCTACGAAATGATAATATAAGTGAAAACGTTCCATTTAGCTACAAAGAGACATCAAAAACAGAGTAATCAGATTTGAAGTTGAACATAACAAACCTTAAGAGATCAGAAACAGAACCTAACCCTAAAAAATTAGGAACATAACTAAACGCTTAGAAATCATGAACAAAACCAAACCTCTAATAGTCAGGAACAGAACCAAACCCTAAGAAATTGGGAACAGATTCGAAACTGGAATAGTTAGGAACAGAACCAAACCCTAAGAGATCAGGAACAGAACAAAACCCTTAAAAACTAGGAACAGAACCAAACCTCTCATAGTCAGGAACAGAACCAAACCCAAAGAGATCAGGAGCAGAACAAAACCCTAAGAAACTAGGAACAGAACCAAACCTCTAATGGTCAAGAACAGAACCAAACCCTTAGAAATCAGGAACAAAACCAAATCTTTAATAGTCAGGAACAGAGGAATCAATAAGTGAAGCTGTACAGAACAAACAAGATTGCAAAAGTTATCATTTTTGCATTTTAAACTGTGTGAAACTCTTATACTAACGTAGGAAAAAACACAAAGATCCAAACTATTCATCAAAAATGTCATCCATATATCATTTTACAATCTAACAAGACACGTAATTTGGAGAAGAAACAAAACAAAAGCAGAGAGAAAGAGAAAGAGAGACAAAGATGGTGCTTACCAAACATTGAGAATGTTCTTGAGAGTTGTAGATTTTGAGGAAGTCTGGATAAGGAGAAAAACCCTTTTTTGAATCCATCTTCTTCTCTCTTACTTGCTTGAGTCTTGATTTGGGTCTGTGACTGTGAAGTGAAGAAGCTGTGGCGTTATTCGAAATCTTAAAGCTGTTGGAGAAGTTCATACAACAAATGTGTGTGTGTGTGTGAGTGAGTCAAAGTCGTAAAGCAATTGTTAGATACGTCATTTCTGAAAACTTTTCAGAGAAACTCTATCACAAAATATAATTTTTACTAATAAATGATATAGAAAATGCAAAAAAAATTTTTATTATTTTATAAAGAAAAGGAATAATTAGTAGACTATTCATAGTTTGTTATATACGTTGATTACTTTAACTTGAAGAATAACTTACAAATTGATTTTCTTTTCTTTAATCATTTTTTTTTTTTGCAAATCTCAATTTTTTTGTTATAATTTCATCAACATTCTAAGGTTAATGTTTTATGTGAAGTATATTTCTAAATTAGATGGAAACCCAATCATAAGATCCACAAATATGGGCCGATATGGGCCGACATAAACAAGAGACTAAAGATGGTTGAAAAGTTGATCTTAGTGTTTAAGAGACACAAGTTGAGAACACTAGTGTTCTTATGATTGGGTTATACATTAGTCTATATACTACAAGCATCCACAATAGTGTTAAGTTAAACCAAATCCAAGATTAAACATTTGATAATAAGCTTACAAGATTAGAGATCATTGTGTTAAAAGTCTAAAGGAAAGTTAATCTCTGTCATAAATTAAACTAAAACCAGAAAAAACGAATATATCTATGTAACATCATTTACGAATGTGCCATTCGATGCTACTATTAGTTTTGGGTTAAGATAGATAATGGACATTTAGTAAACGACGTTAGATTTTGAAAATGAACAATGAAATTTAGAGATCTAAAGCTTATCCATCTAGGTCTCTTAGTACTCTTACCCAACGACGATGGAATACAGAAAATGTTACTAGGATCGTCGAGCTCTTCAAAAAAGTTCATCATTATCATTAATATAAAATTAGATGTACTAAATTGACGCCTGCAAAAACTTTTTTTTTGATCAAATAATGCATGAAAATTTCCTTTTACGTTGGAACTAGCTAATTGCTAAAGATGAGGAATCTTGAATAGCCCTGGATTGGATCATACAGCCATAAAGAATCTGTAAACGTTGCTCTTCATATTTTAAAATCGGTAAGACATAAAGAATGTAATAAGTATTAAAATGAATTTTTAAAAGTATTTAGATAGTTACGGGTTTAAATTTTATTTTATTGCTGATCGGACTTTGTTTTAAAATTATAGAAAAATAATTATGTGTTTTGAATTATACGACATTCACACAATTACCTATACACGTCTATTTTATAATATTGCCCCAAAGTGAAAGAGTGGTCTTCACGACGATGAGGTTTACAAGTCGTGGTCGTGCATTGCAAAGCTTGCCAAAACCGTGTGAACTCAACAAACCATGATTGATATGAAGAAATTGGTTCTTGTCCATTCGGTGTGCAATGTGCATGCATGTCGGTGAATTGTTTATATATTTTCCATATACTGGTTCGAATTTATAAAAATTTGGTTCGTTTTTATTTTCTTTCTGGCATCTGTTTCATTATCATTAGAAATAATTAATTTAATTTTATTATGATGAACTGATAAATTTTAAATCAATAATCTGCAAAAAATTACATTATTTAAGATTCGAACCCCAAACCTGGTGTAGAAGCTTTTAAACCTTGACCAATACACTAAAAATGCTTCCATATTTAGTTCGCTTCAGTTATCATTTTTTAAAAAAAATTTAGAACGTATTCGCAATTTTAATCTAGTCCGACTTACTTTGGTTAGAAAAATTAACCAAAAATAAAGAAAAAAAAAATTCGGGTAACAAAACCATTTAAAAATCCTACCATTTAATTTACATCTAATAACCGAATCCGAACCGAAATAACCAAACGATTCGGGTGAAAAGTCCCATGCCTAGTCCCTATCTTTCAATAGATTTTTTCCTCATCAATTCAATTTATTGCAATAATAGTTGGTAAATATAAAATAAAATTATAAATGTAAATGGTCACGGGATAATAAAAGAGCAATAATAATATAATAATTGCATAAGACTAGTCAACATAAACAAAGGGTTCGTAACTTCGCATCATCTTCCTCCTTCTTCATAAACACCAAAGAAAAAAGGCAGAGACTTTCGAAATCAAGAACCATGGAGAAACCAAACCCTAGAAGACCCTCAAACAGTGTTCTTCCATACGAAACACCAAGATTAAGAGATCACTACCTCCTCGGCAAAAAGCTAGGCCAAGGCCAATTTGGAACAACATATCTCTGTACAGAGAAATCATCATCTTCTAACTACGCTTGCAAATCAATCCCAAAACGCAAGCTTGTATGTCGTGAAGACTATGAAGATGTATGGCGTGAGATTCAGATCATGCATCATCTCTCTGAGCATCCAAATGTGGTTAGAATCAAGGGTACTTATGAAGACTCTGTTTTTGTTCACATTGTTATGGAAGTTTGTGAAGGTGGTGAGCTTTTTGATCGGATTGTTTCTAAAGGGCATTTTAGTGAACGTGAAGCTGTTAAGTTGATTAAGACTATTCTTGGTGTTGTTGAGGCTTGTCATTCTCTTGGTGTTATGCATAGAGATCTTAAGCCTGAGAATTTCTTGTTTGATAGTCAGAGTGATGATGCTAAGCTTCAGGCTACGGATTTTGGTTTGTCTGTCTTCTATAAGCCAGGTTCGTTGTATTTGATTCGAATCTATTTGTTTTTGTCTTTCTTGGTTGATTTGGTTCTTGGTATACTTTCAAGAAATGTCTTGATTTGGTTCTTGATTCAAGAAATGGTTCGACTTTGTTCGTTTGAATGGTCGATTCAGATTTGCTGCTTGAGCATTGTTAGGGAAAGATTGATTTCTCATCCCTTTTGACAGGAATCATTGTTTGTCTTCTTGTTTGGTTTCTTGATTCAAGAAATGGTTCGACTTTATACGTTTGAATTGTGGATTCATATTTGCTGATTGAGCATTGTTAGGGAAAGATTGATTTTTTTTTTTTTTCAATCAGGTTTTGATTTAGTTATATATGGATGTGTTGATTGTGTAAGGTTTTGTTATATATGTAATATATTGTTATGCGTATGAAGCGATGTTATCAGAGTCGGTTTGTCTCATGAATCAACCACGCATTGGTTCTTCGATCCATCCTTTAGAGTCTGTCAAGAAATGTCTTGTTTGGTGTTGAAAATCGATTCGAATTTGCTGCTGGAGAATTGTTAGGTAACCTTTGATTGTCTTTAGAGAGATTTTTCTGAATCAGACTTGACGTTTTTGCTGAGATTTATGAATTTCTTCTAGCAAGAGTTCCATGGTTTTGTTATATGTTACATATGCTTATGTAGTGATGCTATCAGAGATAGATTGTGTCTGACTAATTTCACTGTTTAACTAAATTGTCAATTGTGTTGGTTTGCTTCTTCAGGGCAGTATCTGTATGATGTAGTTGGAAGTCCATATTATGTTGCACCTGAGGTTCTGAAAAAATGTTATGGACCAGAGATAGACGTGTGGAGCGCCGGTGTTATCCTTTATATCTTACTAAGTGGAGTTCCTCCTTTTTGGGCAGGTATGTTTGTGAAAGCCAGTACCTTTGTTACTACTAGTCAAGTATATTGCTTATGTGATTTATGTATTCCTGTCTAATTTGCTTGTAGAAACCGAGTCAGGAATCTTTAGACAGATATTGCAAGGGAAGATAGATTTTAAATCTGATCCGTGGCCTAGTATCTCAGAAGGTGCTAAAGATTTGATTTACAAAATGCTCGATAGGAGCCCCAAGAAACGTATTTCTGCACATGAAGCATTGTGTAAGTTTTTCGTGATGATTGTTTTGTTATCCTCTGTATGTATCTTTCATTGTTAATTCTTATAAGATGTAAGAATTGAGTTGTCCTCTGATGATTATTAGGCCACCCTTGGATTATTGATGAACATGCTGCACCAGACAAGCCTCTCGATCCAGCAGTCTTGTCGCGACTAAAGCAGTTCTCGCAAATGAATAAAATCAAGAAAATGGCCTTACGAGTAAGAAAGTTGTGGTTTGTTCATCTCCAATCTTGTTGCTTATTATCAAGAACTGATCTCCTTTGTTAGGTAATCGCTGAGAGACTCTCGGAGGAAGAAATTGGTGGTCTGAAGGAATTGTTCAAAATGATAGATACAGACAACAGTGGAACAATCACCTTTGAGGAGCTTAAAGCAGGTCTGAAGAGAGTTGGATCTGAATTGATGGAATCAGAAATTAAGTCTCTTATGGATGCGGTAATTATACCAAAACAAAAACTCTCTTATCGATTTCTCTGTACGAAAGATGTTGTGCCTAATCCTAGGAATCACAAAGCTTAAATGGTGTTTTGTAGGCGGATATAGACAACAGTGGGACAATAGACTACGGTGAATTCCTAGCAGCAACATTACATATAAACAAAATGGAGAGAGAGGAGAATTTGGTGGTTGCGTTTTCCTACTTTGATAAAGACGGTAGCGGTTATATCACCATTGATGAGCTTCAACAAGCCTGCACAGAGTTTGGTCTTTGTGACACTCCTCTCGACGACATGATCAAGGAGATTGATCTTGATAATGTAAGAAGCCTTCATGATCTGTTTCCTTTTTTCTTGTTTTCTTAGTGAGTTTGGGGTTAAAACTGATGATGAAAATGTGCGGTTTTGTTAGGACGGGAGGATTGATTTCTCAGAGTTTACTGCGATGATGAAGAAAGGAGATGGTGTTGGTAGGAGCAGAACTATGAGGAACAACTTGAACTTCAATATAGCTGAGGCTTTTGGTGTTGAGGACACCAACACTTCTACTAAATCTGATGACTCACCAAACTAATTATAATCATCTATATATATTTGGAATTGAGAAATGAGAACCCACAAAAGAAAAACTGAATCTTTCTTTTATCTCTCTTTTTGTTTTCGTTTCCACTTTTGTAGATGAGCAACTTTCTCAATTTTGTTGCATGGATAATTTTTGCTTCATTATAATATATATGATCAGAATCACTCATCTTTTGGTCAAAGCAATGTCTTCAAGCATTTACATAATCATGTTTGTTACAAAAGCCAATAGGCTGCAGAGTCAGATCTCTGAATCAAGATTCAATATACAAAGCCAATCGTGTATCAAGATTCAGTAAACTAGCTAGACAAACATTTACTACAAGGGAATGAGAGAAGCTCTCGAATTGACGACAGTAAACCAATCAAAGCCAGAGTTAGCGGTAAGCTTCGTGATGTTTCAGAAACAATCTTCTTCTTTATCTTGAGCTCATAAACACCTTTAAAATCCCGCCATGCGACTGAAAGGTGCTGCTCATGAATATCTATATAAATGATTATACTCTTCAGTCTTCATTCATATACTCTCTTTCTCTTTAGGAGGGCAGGGAATATGGAGATGGATCCAATGAGGAATAACACGGACAAAGTCTTAAAATCATACAGATCCTTTACTGATCTGAGATCTCCAAGAGCCAAACCAGCCTGTGTTAATGAAGTTAAATGTTATGATATTAGCCTCTTAAACATGAAAGAACTGCAGAATGAGATCAAACAATAGACTCACTCTAACGGTGATGTACGAAGCTGGCATAAGGCCGACTAGAGTCGCCAAAAAGAAGACGTGAAAGGGTATGTCAACGATTGGAGAAGACAAATTGATAAAGAGGTTTGGAAGCGTTGGTGTTATCCTTAAGAACAGCATGTAGTTTAGCAGCCTATCTCTTCTTTTCGCAATCTGACGCATTGAAGATTTCAAGACATTAATCCTTCAGAACAAGTGACATTACTAAATGCTAATCAAAAACAAGAGGGCTTACCTCTGCCTGGAAAAACCTCAACTTTTCAGGCCATAGCCAGTTAACCAAAGGCCTTCCGACCAATTTCGATAAGAAGAAACAAGAACATGCTCCAGCTGTTGCATTGAGGACAACAAGGACAAAACCTCTAACCACACCAAAAAGAGCTCCAGCAAGCAATGACATAAAGATTGTTCCAGGTATCATAAAGGTCTGCATAAAGATATACGTCGAGCAGTAACCTAAAATGAACCGTGCTTGGTACTCACTTGCATAAGACCCAAGATTCTCTCTGCATATGTTCATACCAATGTATCAATTCATCATAATAGTCAGTCCAAGCAAGTCACATTCAATTGAAAAAGCAACTTTCAAATCAAGTTTTTGAAGCTAATGCATGTGCTGCTCTCTAAACCAAAATTTGAGAATCATGGAAAGATCCAAACTTTCAATTCGGGGTTTAAATTAGGCTCCAAATTCAAGTGACACTACTAAAAGCTAAACTCTTTCAGTTTCTACATTAGCATAAACTTAATTTTCAATCTGTAGAACAAAAGTACAAGCTAATCACATACAATAAAACTGAAAATGCTGCTTCTACAATCATGTTGTTAAGCTAATTTGCTCTTCTCTAAACCATTCTATCGGAATCTTCGAAAGATTCAAACTTTCATTTTGGGTGTTGAATTAGGCTCCAAATTCCAGAGACACTAATAAAAGCTAAACACTTTCAGTTTCTACATTAGCTCAAATTCAATTTCCAATCTATAGAACAAAAGAACAAGCTAATCACATACAAAAAAAGTGAGAATGCAGCTTCTAAACTTACGTCTTTAAGCTAACATGCTGCTCTCTAAACCAATCTATCGGAATCTTCGAAAGATTCAAACTTTCAATTTGTGGTTTTGAATTAGAATCCAAATTCAAGAGACACTACTAAAAGCTAAACACTTTCAGTTTCTACATTAACTCAAATTCAATTTCCAATCTATAAAACAAAAGAACAAGTTAATCACATACTAAATAGTGAGAATGCTGCTTTTAGAATCATGATCTTTAAGCTAATTTGCTGCTCTCTAAACCAATTTCCCAAAAGATCCAAACTTTCAAATTGGGTTTTTGAATTATGATTCAGATTCAAGAGACCACTACTCAAAGCTAAACACTTTCAATTCAAAAAGAAGAAGTTTTTATTCTCACTTAAGCAATCGAAGATCGGAGATAGTTCTAGGAACTTTGAGCTTGCCGTATTCAGCGGCAGGCATGGTGAGGTAAATACACAAAAGTCCGGTGGTGAAAACAAGGAAGACGGTGAAAAAGACGGCGAATTCCCACCGTGAGAGAGGAAATCTCTCCGATTTGGTTCGTTTACCCGTCGGTGAATCATCGTTTAAGAGTCCTTTAGCTGCCGAAGACGCGGCGGCGCTTTCTTCGTCTTTTACAAGCTGTCTTCCTCCGCCGTCACCTGTTAAATTCCGAGGAGCCGCCATTACTGTAATGCTTTCACAACAAAACCCAGTTTTGAAGGAAATTGAAGAATTTTACGAACAAATCTAAAGGTTTTTGTTTTTGCTTTCTCAGTTTTTGTGTTTGTGTTTTTTTTTGTTTGTTCTTACATTTATATATTTGTTGGGAATATGCAATTTCAGACGCAAGGATTAGGAATAAAATATTTGTAACCATAGTATATGCCTTCTTCTCTCTGTTGTCTCACTTACTTGTCAAATTGTTGTTCGCAAATCGCAAGTAGAGAAACTTCTACTAGACCTGGACTTTCGGTTATCCATTCGGTTATTGGTCGAGTCCATTCGGTTTCGATTCTTTTGGTTCTAAAATTTAGTATCCATTCGGATATTTTGAAATTTAGGTTCGGTTTCAGTTCACTTCCGGTTCTTTCGGTTTTAAAATTTAGTATCCATTCGATTATTTTGCTTAGGATATTTTCGGATATTTTGGTTATTTTTGAGTATTTTCAGATATTTTTTTGATATATTTCGGTTATTTTTGAGTATTTTTACTATTTTTATATATATTTTAAGTATTTTTGATTATTTGGTCTATAAATAACTAATTATTTTAAAAATATAATTGTATTTCGGGTATTTCGGTTCGGCACCAATTTGGTTACGGTTATTTCGGTTATAAAATTTAGTATCCATTCGGTTATTTTCAAATTTTTGGTTCGGTTCGGTTCGATTTTTTTTTGCTTCGGTTTCGGTTCAATATATTCGGTTCGGTTTATTTGCCCAAGCTTTATAACCTAATATTTAGAAGGTTCAATGACTTCCATAACCCAATCGTTTATGTATTTTTCTCTTTTTGGGCCGTAGGGCCTAGGGCAGGACAATATATCTATTACCCGTATTCGATCCGTTATCCAACTAGTATCCGTTTTGAATAAAGGGTATTTGTAACATTGGGGTCGAATAAAGAATATTGTAATTCTATCATCCGTAATTAAAAATCGAGTATCAAATATTAAATTTTTTTTAATATTCAGCTCGTTACCCGATTCGTTATCCGTTTTGCTATCCGATCTGTAAATATCCGCTTTATTAGTGTTTTATAATATTGTTAAAATTTTAAAATATATCCTAGAGTGAAAGTTTAAGCCTAAGTTTATAATTTTATAGAGTTTGAAACTATATGTTACATATGTTTATGAACCTTTTTTTAGAAAAATAAAATGTTTTGGAATATAAAATTATTTAGTGGGTACGAAATTTTCCTTTACACATAAATTATCAAAAAGTATGCAGATAGCAGTAAAAGATCAGGTATCTAGCGGATCAACTATTTTTATTGGTATCTGTTTTTTGGGGTATCTGCTATATGCAGATCGAATAAGAGTAAACTTTTTTTACTAACCATAAGGGTATCTCAAACTTCAAAGGTATTCGTTTCGTGCCCACTGCCCACTCATAATAGGGTCTCATGAAAAATGAAATGGCAGATGAAATAATTTCGTGATTATGCATTTTTTCAGATCATCATAGTTTTTACCAGACCAAATCAGTGTTCCACAGTATCGTTCCTCCGCGATTAAAACTAAATCGATTAACATACTCGGATAACTGCCGCAAACCGATTTATTAGTATAATATCGATTTTAGAGTTTAAAGGCTAAATTTTTAACTTATTGGCAAGCATATTGGGTTTTGAGGAAGTGTAGAATTGTGATACCTCTCCTCCTCTCACTAATCCATGTGGGATATAGGCATTTAGCATTTTAGCTTTTTGTTTTTTTTTCTTGTTTTTTTGTTTTTTTTTCTTTCTTTTGAGTCATTTAGACATTTACATATTGTGATTCCGTCTAGTGCTTGGTCCCTCATGAAGTCATGAGTTGTTTATTTAAGATTATAAGATGATTTAGGAGTTTTTGATCAAAGGGTTTGAGATTCTTTTTGACTGATGGCACAATTCCCTCGGACTGCCATCGAAAGGCTTTCAACATGTGGAGGTTTGTTACAACTCTTTTATCAAGCTGTATCTCATTTATTCTCTTCCTTGGGGTTTCAAATTCGAGAAACTTCAAGATCGCTTATCATTTCATCCGACACTTTAAATCTTGTTTTTTTTTATCTATAAACTGATTGGTTTTGTTTCTTGGTTGAGGACAAGTAATTGTTCAAGTCTCGAAATATATATTAAGTTAAGTCATATTATTTATGTTTTTTAACCATTGTTTTGATGTCTATTTTAAGTCTTTCATTGAGTTAAAGAGTGTTTATAATGTCTTTTAGTTTTTATTGAATCTTGACAGGTTTTGGGACGTTTTGGAGTAAATGGAGATGAAGAGTTTTTGGATCATTTTGGATGATTGGGGATGCATGACTGCACAGAAGCATCGGAAGTTTGGTCTCCCATGAAAGACTTCTCTATCGTTAGAACTTTCTCAGTTTTTGCTTAGTTTAGGGTGTTATTTACGATTTGATTTTTGTAGAGATTTCTCTCACACTTTTAATATTCTATTATAAATATATCATGTTTTGTTTTCATGTATGTATCTTGATGTTCTTCTATTTCTATGGTTGAGTAATTCTTTATTAGGTTTTAGGGATTCTAACAGGATTTATAGTTGATTGATTGATAGGTTGTTAGATTTGGATTGATTCTTTTGGTTCTTCATCTATGGTTGTTATTATTGCTTAATCTAGATTAATCACATAAATTCTGATCTAAAGTTTAATTCATCGTGACATCAAAAGTGTTGTTAAATTGCTTGAAAAAACATGGTGAACAAACCTTTCTTAACTAGCCAACCAACAGTTGATGTTAAATGGTTTTGTAAATAAATCAAACTTGGAATTATTAATGCTTGCTTGATTTGCTAGATTCAAACGAGTTTAGGGTTTAGAAAATTCATTGCATATATAGTTAAAAGAAATTTTCACGTTTAGTAACAATATGAGTTTTTCTGTCAGCATTTGGCAAAGCGAGAATGACTTTTTAGGGTATAGCCATTTGGTCATTTTATGACAAAAATGCCTCTGCCAGCGTAACTAGTGTACAGTGTCCGTGTACAAATTAGTTAGACGTTAAAGTTAGGTACATTGTCTTGTTAAAAATAGAAAATAATATAAATATAAAAATAAAATAAGATTATAATTATTTTCCACCCTCTTTTGTTTTCCCATTTTTTTCTCTCTTTGTAATTTTATAAATATTTTTTAATTTTTGTACTTTTAATTAAAATTTAATATTTTTCTATCTTTTAAGACCCATTTTCATATTTTTAATTTTTACTTAGAATTATAATTTTTTTAAAAAACTTTAGTCGTGTCGTTGAAGACAATTCGAAATTAACAATATCATGTACTCATGTGTACGTACACAGTAATAAATGATGTGCATATGTGTACGTAAAAAAAAATATTAAAATGTTTTACCTATATTTGTTAAAATTTTAAAAAAATTTATTTAAATTTAATAATTCAATTTTTTTTACCAATATTTCGAGCATGTGTGGATGTTGAATTCACACACTCAATAATTTATTTATTCGTGGGTTTAAACGCTCAAGATCAAAATACACGACACAAAATGTATAGAAAATAATATGAAAATGTGAGCAAAAATGTAGAGAAATGAATGGTATAGTATTAGCTTGTAAGCAAGAATTCTAGGTACCCCTCAATGTCTTAGGGGTCTCATATTCATATACAAATAATTACACTAATCGGCTAATTAATGCAATGAATACCATTAAATATGTCCGTTTTGATTCTCCAATTAATGACGTAACGTTTCTTTTTTAATTGCTTTGAACTCTTCTTGGGCCCTCGAGTTCTCGGCCCATTGTGTGCTTCTCGAGCTCTCCCTTACTTTGGCAATCTTGCCGAGCTCTTCACCCCGAATGTTCTCTTTAGTTGGATTCATTCTGTTGACCGATGCCCTGTTGACTTTTAGCCTACGTGGCAATCTTGTGAGTCCTAACCGGGAGGTAAGACATGATATTTGGAAGAATGTATGAACACTACTAACTATGTACATGAAGAATTATGTAAAGGTGAATGTTTGACTTACACGAATACAGTCCTAACCGATCTTCCCGTCTATTTGATCCATCGTTTTTCTCGTCATGTTCATCGACGTTTACGTCGTCCTCCTCATCCCCGTCCTCCTCTTTGTCGTCATTTTATCATTTTCTTCAACATTTTTATTGTCATCTATTTCTTCTTTCTCGATCGTCTACGTCTTCATTGTTTTTCTTCCACACTTGGAGCCTCCGGTATGGTTTTTTTTTTTTCACCTATAACCAATGGTTAGTTTCATCAATTTGGGTTTGTATCATGCACACACTACTCACACATTTCTCAATGAGCTATACAAAACGACACAATCATATTTACCCTTGAATCCCAACTAATAATAAAATAAAATATATCCAACTTCATTTGATTGTCAATGTAGACATAAAGGTGTTTATGTTCAATCATCATCGACATTATTACCGGTATCCAGTAACTAATTTTTGGATTAAACTTAGTAAACTTCAAGCTAAACACCACATATAACGTATACGTCAGATTCGTGTATGTCATATTTTCTTTGACATGTACGTATCTACCAAAGTTTTTTTTCTCAACTAAATTTTTTTTTCTGTATATCTCTACTCACCAACAACAATAAATACATGAATTTTCATTACACACTTGAATCATAAATTCATGAGTAAGACATGCATCATCATTTATATTACAAGACGGTTTACAAAAAAAAATTAATAATCATAAATCATACTGGTCAATATAACTTCCAAGCAGTTTCAAATCGGAACCCCCTAAAGTTTGTAGCAAAATCTGTCGAAGATTCGTATCTTTCTTCTATTACAGTTCGATTAACTTATCTTATATATTTCGTTTCCTTGCAACCAGCTATCACAAAAATATATATCAAGTTGAATAAACAAGGACGAAAAAACAAGATACACAAATGTCATGATCAGTGAAATTTTTTGTCAAAGATTTGTATATTTTTTCTTCTTCTACAGTTCCATTAACCTATCTATTCGTTTT